GTCTGGACCTTCGTGCACGCTCACATTTGGAAGGAGTTGTGTAAAGTATTACTGCTCAGCATTGTAACAAATTCTTTGGGATTTCTGGGGGAAGCATAAAATAAAAATGGTTTTCACCAGGCCGGTTCTTTCGATTCACATTTATTTTCTTTCGTTGCTTTTAACTATTGCAAGCTCATAACAAAATCGTAATAATATATATTAAAAATTAATTAAAGATCTACAAATAAATTCAAATAAAACATGAGCTAAAAACACAAATGTCTTCCTACCGCACAAATATGTAACTAATAAAGATATGAGGCTAAAATACATTCGTGATAAATATAGCTAACAAATTAATCAAAAACGAACATTCAGTATTTTTATTTTTGAAAATATTAAAAAGTCGCCAACAATAAAATTAAGCTAGACTACAAAAGATGAGCGAAATAAAGAGCGGCAAATTAAAACTTACAAATATAATTTTAAAAATTTTCTTTTTCGCTTTAAATGATTAAAATGCGTAATTAATGGCAAAAATCCGCTTTGAAACTTAAAAATTATTTTTCAAGATGTACTGTATTCTTATTAAAAACTAAATAATTTCCGTAGTTGCATCGTCTACTTCGTTCGATTCGTCTATTGGTTATTGTTGGTATATGTGTATGTATAAATTTGCGTGCGATCTGCTTTAGGACTTCCAACAAGTTTACATAATCTTTAATTTCTTATTTAAAACTAATATGCATTGACAAAGATAGGTTTATGTTGTGATTTGTGTTTTTTGATTTGATTTTACTTTTCTGATTTTAATTAAATGTTTACCAGCACATTTGGAAGGTCTAAAATTAATGATTAAAGTTAATTAGTATATATGTTTGTGTATATCGTGTTGTAGAACTAAGAATTTATTTATAAAAATTTCACTAGCAAGTAAAATCACCCCTCAATAATTACAAATTAATTACACGCATATAGACAGAATATCAATAATTGTTGTCGTTGGTTTTGTCAAAAGAAGGCAAAAAGATCAAACCTAAAACAGCTAATCATCATCGTCGGACGAATTTGACGACAATTGTAGATCGTTTTGTAGCAAGTCGTTTGGAAAGCCACCGTTGGACGCATAAATGCCGGACTGTTGCTTCTGCTGCTGCTGCTGCTGATGATGATGCGGTTGCTGCTGGTGATGATTGTTGCCATAGGCTGGTGATATGGAGCCCAGGCCCAAATTGGGCAACTGATTCAGATGCTGCTGGGACAACTGCTGTTGTTGATGGTGATGATTCTGATACATCTGCTGCTGCTGCTGCTGTGGGTGATGCTGCTCCTGTACCTGCTGCGGCCTTTCCATGGGGCGATCATCCTCGGTGCTGTCATCGGAGTCACTGCCACTGTCACTGTCGCTGGAATCCGACTCGGAACTGGAGCTCGAGGCACTTAATGCTCCGCCAATTTGCTGTAAGTATGCAAATCATAATTTAGCACTGGTTCGTACGTAACCAGATCTCCAACCCACCTGTTCCAACGCGGCTGCCGCTTGCTCCACGGACTGCGTGGTTAGTTCTTGCTCCCTGGCCGAGTCCAAATCCATGGGCAAGCTATTGCCGTGGCCATAAGCCGAAGGGCGAGGCTGGTGTTGCTGCTGCGGCGAGTGCCGTTGTTGCTGCTGTTGTGCGTGGTTATGGCCGCCGTTGTAACCACGTCCATAGTTCGATGGCTGCTGGTGGTGCTGCTGCTGCTGTTGGGCCATGGGTGGACTTGCGCGCTGGTGCATCTGCTGGCGCTTGCCATGGCCGTGCTGGGGAGCCTGCCGCTGCTTACCCATGTGCGAGGACGAGGACGTGGATCCAAAGTCCGGCTGCCCCGCCGCCGAGCCAGTCGAGGAGCCTGAGGTATTCGCCTGGCCGCTGCTGTGGAGCGCCGCCCTCAACCCAAAGTCATCGTCGTCGGTGATCATGGGAATGCTGGGCAACGTCTGCTGTGCATTATTGGCATCCCAACTGAAAGGTACAAGCTAATAACTATGTTCCACTTGGTGGAGGAAATAACTTACGCTGGCGCAGATTGAGGGCTGCGATGGACTGCCACTGGACGCGATGGTGAGCTCTGCTGCATGGGCGAATTGCGCGGCTTGAAGTCAACTAAAAATGTTTAAAACGAGCAGACATTTTTTGAGCATTTATTTTTAGTGATTTTTGGTATTGCTTTATACAAGGTAAGGCTATTATCTTGCAGGTGTGAGATTTCTTTTTCTTCTTTTCTTTTTCTTTTTCCTCTATTTCTTTTTTAGAGCTCTTGAGAAACAAGCGGAAATCTGTATTGTAAGGAATTCTTGCTATCGATCTAAGGGGAATACGCTTTATTACTGGCTGACTCATAAATTCCAGAACTCGACATTTAATGTTTTTTCTCAAGCAGCTATTTATTTATACTTACTTATATTATTTCGTCGGCTGCCCGTAGAAACCTTTGTCTTCGATGAGATTCGCATGGTGCTGTTCTCCATTTTGGGTGCCGAACCGGATCCGTGCCCAGGAGCTGATATTGGTGGCGCTCCAGCTCCATTTGTGCCTTGGCTGTGGACCTGACTCTGGGCCATATGCACGGGCACATTCTGAGCTGGGGGTAGGGCTGGCTTGTTGGTGACTTCGCTCCTGAAAGGATAGAAATAGTTTTTATACCATTCAGAATTCACTGCTTATGTAGCACTCACCTTGTCTTCTTCACTTGAATGTTGTGATTCAGCTTTTCTATTGTGATAGCGCCCGTCTCCTTGTCGTAGATCATTAAACACTCCTTCGCATACTCCCTCTGATTACCCTTATAAACTGTATGAGGCACACCGGAACTTTCTGTAAGTTAAATAGAAAAAAGATTATTTAACTTTGGCAAGAGACATATATATATATATATAAATTTATATGTATATCGAAAAAACAGGTTAGCTGCGGTCAGCCAAAGATATACTAAAATAAACAAGGCTCACGTGCTTTTGGATTAATTAAAAGGTAATTGCACCAGTACGACCAGTACAGAATATATCTAATGACCTTGAATTTAAAGAGTAAGTAACGCCTAACAAGTTCAAAAATGATTTCCAAGAATGCTCTTATTAGAAAATTGGTTAATTGTACATTAATTGGTTATGTATACATATGAATGCATTTTGCACAGTGTACAAAGAGCTTTAATTCGAAGTTTCGGAAAACTTGTAAAGATCTTATCAATAAAATTCTTTTAACTATATTTTAAGACTAATTTTAAGGTATCTAAAGAAAAATTCGTAGCATTTAAATTTGGATTTGATAGGTTATGTGGGCCCAACGGATTATGCGCGGTTATCGCGTGACTAAGGCGGCGACTATAACTATTTATAGGCAGACATATCTTTCGAGTTTCAGTACTATTTATACAATCTACCATGCAACTTTATACGATCTGCTTGGGTGAGTTTAGAAGTCTTAAAGCGGTCCATGAAGCCATCATTTTTTTTTCCGACATTTATAGTACTTCTCTATGTGACCCACAGTTTAAAAGGTCACCCAAGGTCGGACCGAGATTATAACGACATATTGGAACTTCCCGCAGTCAATTTAAACATAAAAATGGATGCGATTATTAATACAAATCCCGATAGGAATCACAATAAAGCTACAAATATCTTAAATACACTTCTTAAGCTGTGTAAATCTGAAACTGGAAACTCAGGAAATCCAGATTTTACTTTGGGTACACAAAGTATCCGTAATTTAAATTCACTCAAAAACAGCATAACTCTGTCTGAAGTTAAAATGCCGTACATTAAGGTTGTTTTCGTGAAGGATGCTAAAGCGCTGGAAAAGTACAAGAAGAAAGCTAAAATCTACAATACAAACGACACGACCATTATCATTCAACGCCCGAGATCCAAAAGAGGGCCTAGAACAGCGTCCGTGAAAGATTGTGTACTTACGAAAGCCAAACAATTAACTTTGCAGATTTAAAATGATAAAGAAGTTAAAAGAATGATTTAAACTATAATGTTTCATAGTTCAAAACAAAAGAAAATTATTTAATAAAAAATATACGGAATAAATATATTAACCTGTTGTTTTATCAATTCTCCCCCTGAAACGAATATTAATCTCTTTTGCTAAGGTAATTCGTTACCTTTGATCTACAGAACAATTCGAATTCCCTTACGCTCTCCCATTGAAAGTTTGACTAATGGATTCGCGTAAATGGCTATAAAAGGATGGGGTTCGTGAAAGTGAAAGAAGAGTGTTATCGCTAGAATCAGAAATGCGAGTTCTCGCTATACTCTTTGGTAAGTCCAAGTTTTTTGACGGCCCCACGCGAATCTAATTATCGTTTTTCTAGCTTTACTCTACTTGTTTTACTTTGAAATATGTGCAACGTCGCATACATTTTCCGATTTGGAATCCTGGTTTGATAAAAACGTAAAAGGGCGACATGACACGGCAACGACAGACATTCTTATAATGCTTTGCCTTCTAAAAGTGAAAAGAGAAATACAGCCTCAACAAATACTTGGAAATAAACACATAAACAATGCGAATAATGGAATTGATAACCTATTTAAAACGAATATTGGAAACATTGACATAACCAATACGAATACTTTAGAAAACACCATACAACTGCCGCCCATCAAAATACCAAATATTACGGTTGTCATTGTTGAAGATGAGTTATCGCAAGTAGCTAGAACGGGAGGCCAAAATTCAAATATTGACTTAGGTAATCTAATTAGAATATTTAAGGAATGCATGAATAAAAAATTAGATATTTTGGGAAGATCAGCGAAATAAAAGCATTTTAAAATACAAATGTTCTTCTTCACTTCCTAATAATTATAATTAAACCACTACTTTTATTGTGTAGACTTGCAGTATTCTGCAGTATTATGGCTTAAAACACTGCAATTTTACAATGTATATGAGTTGATATAAAACCAAACTTTGATTTTTTTAGTCTTTAACGTGAAAACAATTGGTATATAATTGGTATTTATCGGAACAGAAGAAAACGCGTGTGACTTTTAAAAGTTACGATGCAAAGCATTACCGTTTTAAGTTATGTTAAGTAAGTGTTGCCAATTTGATTGGATCTGCTCTTATGCAGGGCATTCCAATATTATTCACAATAAGAGAAATGGTCACTGTATAAAAATCGTCGAAATGAACGGGGCTATTCTGCTGTTCTCGCTTCTGATATGTAAGTCTAACAAATTAATTAATACTACTAAGATAATTCAGATTATTATCGTATTACCCCTTCTAGGCCTACTTTGCGCCCCGCTAAATAGATCACAGGATATTCTAAAACTAAAGAAACTAACCTCGGATCTGGTAAATGCCATTGCAGAAGCTAATTCTGGGAAAAAGTATGGAACCGAATGGGTTCCGGCCCTAGGAAGAACTTTGGAAGAGGTGCATCGAACATCATCACGACGGTGTTTTATGTTTAAATTACTGGTCAAGAAAGTGGAAACCTTCTGCCCAAAGCCTCCCACATATTTCCCCACTTGCTATCCATCATGCAGGCCACCCCCTTCTCCGCCTCCGGCACCGCCTCCACCTCCGCCTCCACCACCACCACCGCCTTCTCCATCACCAACTCCAGCGCCTGTCAAAGAGTTCATCGCTCCGCCTCACCCTTCCTTCGAGCTCGTCTACCCCGACGGCACCTACTTTCCCTGGTGCTACATGCCCTTCTGCCCCACAATTTGCCAGAGACCCTACTGCTATCCCTGCATGTTGCCCGACTGTGATCCCAATTGTGTCCCGCCAATGTGCTATCCACCCTGCACATATCCTGGCTGCGAATTGCCGCCGACATGCTGGCCACCCTATTGTCCAGATCCTTGCGTAGCTCCCAAATGTATTGCCGGAAACTCATTCGGGGCAGCGCGGAGCTGTGTGCCACCCTACTGCCCACCGCCCATGAATTGCCATCCGCCTTACTGCCCGAAGGTCTACAAGCCTGTGTCGGGCAGGACACTTATAAGAACTGGTTCGTGCCCGATGCGAGATATTGTGAAAAGAGCCGTTAGGTCTAAGTTTGGTTAATAATAAAGATCACATCTTAAATGGAAATTTGTGTTTCAAATCCTGTGTTTAGGGATGTTAATAAATAAAAAACCAAACAAAAATAATAAATAAAGGTTTGTTGTGTTACAAGAGGCCCAACTATCCCAGTACTTGCCGGCCACCCTACTATTTGGATATGTTCTTTCCAAAAAAGTCTAGCCACATCATTGTACCTGTTAATCGTAGGTTAAAGGGCTATACTAGACTCGTCGGAAAGTATGTAACAGGTAGAGGGAAGCATTTCCGACCCATAAATAATATATATTCTTTATCAGGATCGCTATCCCAGTCGATCTAGACATGCCCGCCTGTCCGTATGAACGCAGAGATCTCGGAAACTATAAAAGCTAGAATGTTGGGATTTGGCATGCAGATTCTTGGGTTTCCTGCGCAGCCCAAGTTTGTTTCAGCGCTAAAACACAACACTAAAACCCGTCTAGCGCCTACATTTTATAATATTTTCTTTTTCATATTGAAATACATTTTACGATGTTCTTTAAGCCACTTCTTTTGTATCTGGAGTATAATGATATTTACAAAGTCTGCCTTGAACGTTAATTGCAATTATCATGGTAGCTTTATGAATTAGAGGTGGTGCCATTAACCCACTTTAATAGCCTGCATTCCGTTTCAACAAATGAAGTATACAATGCGAATCGCGTTGGTAATCGTCGGTTTGACTTTATTCGCCTTAATCAAGAACATTCAGTTCTCTGCCTTCAGCTGCACACTTCAGTGGTCGTGTTGAATAAGTTGGTAGGACTTAAAGCTAGACTTTTGAAGAATACTGGAAGAGCCATTTAAAAGAGTGGTTCAATGTTGTATTAGTTGGGCTGGCTAATGGAGATCTATGGGGACAGAGGAGGTAATGCAACCATTCCCAGCTTACGTGTAGTATTAAAACTAATGAAGTCGAACAAGTTTTGTATTTCAATTGATACTTCATATTGGTTGCTTTTTTCTATTTGGTAAATATGTTAACATTTTGAATACCCCTGCAGCCAAAATGAAAACTCTACAAACCTTCTTCAAATTGTGATCATAATCTGGTTGGTTTCTTTAATGACCCAACCTCGTAGGGGGCATTTGAATTTGGTCACGGAAAATTTGATCGATGGCTAGCCTTCAAAGATTTGAGATGGTTTGGTGTTAAAAATTTTCTGTATCCAAGCGGTTTAGTCACCAACAGAAAACTGAAAGTTATATTGATATCTTAAGATACATTAAGATCTCGGAAAGAAATACATACAGACGAATTTTAATAACTCAAACCCCAATTTACCACCAAAACATGAGATATGAAAACTTTGAGTTTCAAAATACGTTTTTTGAGTATTTATACCTAGCTATTGCCAATAAATATAGATCGACTGTAATGACAGAAATCTTTTAAATACAACTGGCCATGCCAAATGAGAAGTTTAATTTTTATAGATTACGTATACTTTTAATTTACTTATGTACATTTAAAAACAAAATGAATAAAAAGAAAAAAAAATTACTCTTGTACATATTGAAAAGTAATTTCTATTTCGCTTCTAGTGAATTCCAACCCAGAATTACCAAGTTACTAAGTAAATAGACCTGATAATTATTACTTTTTTAATTTGATCGAAACCTTAACACCAAACACCCCAACTACTAGGCTACCTTAAAGACAAATCCATAAAGTGACATATATGTCGAATTTAATTTACTGTCTGTCGACTAACAACAAAATGCTATCAGATTGACCGGAGCTGTGAGTAAGTGATATGGTTATCGTTGTTATGGTTATTTAAGTACGCCAAATCTATTCAATTGATAGGTTGAACGTAATGCTTGGCTTTGGCCGATGCCAAACTAGTTCAGCATATTGTGCGCATTTGGCTGCACCCGTCAGATTCCGGGGGAATCCGGGGAGGGAGGGACAGTTCAGTTACCACACCACTTCCAGCCCCACACTTGACCAAATTCCGCAGTTATTGCCGTCGCCGCCGTTGCCGCCGCCGCCAAAACTCTTCGGCGACTCGTCGCTCGCAATCAGCGGAGCGTTACACAAGCCAAGTCGGCCGCAATGGGGTCCAACAAACCAACAAACAGGCAAAGCCCAACCACAGTCGACGGACCACAGACGATGTCTGGCCACAAAGAGCATAGCGGAATAATACGAGTATGGAGAGGCCGAGGAAACTTGGAAAAACTTGAACGCTCGACTGCATTTTGCCTGACTTGATGTAATTTGGTGTCTTTGCTCCAGCGCTGGCCTTTTCTCCTCTCACCCAACGACCGTGATTTTTTGTTTAATTCAAAAAACACACAGGGCTAGCATTAATTTGTATCTATGAATAGACACTGCAGCTGGTTACCCTCACATAATGCAGGCAAATTATGTCATCACACAAATTAACCACATACGTCTGTAAATAGACACCTACTTGATTGCATTTTGAAAGGCTATTGCGATTTTTATTAGGCACTAGATACAAAAATAGTACTGAAATTTAAGACTTCCAATAATAAGTCAACGACATAAAATCTGTAAAGATCATAAATATTTGTTTTCCTAAACTTTTCGTACTAGTTGCGTAAGTTTCTCTCTCTCTAAAGCAATTTAATAAGTTAACTGGTCTATCAAGTTGTTTATCGACTGCCGCTCAACATTTCCGATGCAACCACAAAAACTATTCGGTTCGCTCTTATTTCAATACTTTGTTGGATTGCGTGCCTGAAGCTTCATAATAAATTAACAGACTTTCCTACGTTGTTTATTCCATTTTATGATTGTCTAATAAAAAATGGTTGGATAAACGTGATTAAAGTCAGCGCTGTAGACCTAAAGGATTCACTATTTCCCAGCTACTATGGTTACACTGCAGATTTGATACGTTAATAACAAAATATCGAATGCCATTAATATGAATATAACCTTATTATAACTATCTTAATGGAGTATACAACTTCCTCAACTTTATTTATTATCTGTCATTAAAATGTTCTCACCAAACAAACAATAGATTGTGAAGAATTTGTGCCAACTTCTTGGTGTGACTGAACTTGGCATGAGGCACGTGTTCTTGATTGCTCTGAATCTTTTTTAATGAACCATCTTGGTGAGTTTAGCATTCCAGTGTCGGTTACATGAATTCAAACAGGTGCACCTCAACAAGCAGGTGCACTGCCATCGAATCCCGGAAGCTAAAGCTAGCTAACACAGTTAAACGTTCTTAACTAGAACCTCTATATACCAAATGTAAATAAAGGTTTGTTAGACAAATTCAAATAAAAACGTAAAACCAAATGTTTTTTATAATATTACCATTAGGTTTTGCATCTTTTTAAAAGAAAATATATTTTCTTATGCCTAAGAACGTTTATACATTATTTTGACACACAGTCTTTTCCTACTAAAATTCGTTTTGAAAACAAAATGCATTGCAAGTGAATTTAAAGATGTTGTTGTTGATCATTACCGGCATTTTTACTTCATTTTATAATGTTAAATAATCTTTCCTCAATGAAATTGTTTTGATTTTTTCAACTCATAAATCTCATGTTAATATTTGAATTAAAATTGTGAACAAAATAAGGATTTGTCATCTTTTATTTGCTCAACTTGAATTCTGGCAAGCGGAATACATAAATGTATATTTAGAACCATCAACTTAATGATCAATAATTTTTGTATACATATTTATCCTTCGAGAAAGGTGGTTCGATTTCGTATCAATCATAAAAAGGTTGTTTCTGGGTGCACTCACCTGAATTTGGCACGATAACAGTAACTTGATTGTTGGATCCCACGTCCACAGAGGCCATGCGGCTGGTGTCCACGCTCGCTGGCTTGAAGTCATCTGCAAGACGTGTAATTTTGTGGGTGAGCTCTCTGTCTGGTGAATCAGGGGAGTCCCCCGATGCAGACAACACTTACATTTGATGGTGTGGAAGGCGGTCGAGGTGTTCTTCGGGTTGAAGGATGCGCCTAGCTTCAGTTCCCGCACCTCCTCGCCGATATTGAGGCGCTCGGCCAGCGAATTCTTCTGTTTGGTCATCATCATCGTGTTGTTTTTGCTTTTGGGCTGATAAGGCAGGTTGGTGGTGGCGCTTTGTGGGTGGTTATTATAATTGGATTGGTTGTAATTGGCACTGGTGTGGTTTGACTTTTGATAATTGTTGTTGTTGTTGTTGATGGTGTTTTGTTGTTGATATGACTTCTCGGCCACGTCCGCCAGAGCAAAGTGGGACTCCTCGGCAGCGCCACCGCGTTGATGATTGTGCCCACCGTGGATGCCAGCGGAAGAGGACTGAGAACTCCTGTCGCCGCCCTCGCTGTGATGCTGATTCCCGATAGCCGACGACGATGACGATGACTTCCGATAGCTGCCGCCGTAGTGCTGGCTCGCAGACGCCTTGGCCTTGAGACGCTGCAGCTTGGTGGCCACGGATTTGGGTATTTTACGGCCGTGATCGTCGCTCCACGTGCTGCTCTCTTTTGGAACGATGCAAGACTTTTGCCACAAAGTATTGCAAGCGTCGCAAAAGAAACCACGTTCTCTCGAGCGGAGGGTGTTCAAAATTAAACCAAAAGTAAATAATAATAAATCGGGGGGGTGGTGGTGGGTTGACCTCCGGGAGACTTTCTTCTTCTTCCTCAGGGCGGCTGATGGGTTTCGGTTGTTACATTTGTCATTGGATCTGGGTTCTGCCTCCGGATTTGGATTCGGGTTGCAGGCCTACTTCATAGTCATGTTCTGGCCAGGCCTTGGGAAATGTTTATCATCTGCAAAGTATGGCAAATATTTATTGCGATTATTTATTTTCGGCCATATGTTTGCAACACACACTCGCACACACACACCCGCACACGCAGTGCAGCACTTTAGAACACTGCATTTACACCTGCTGCTTTGTGACACACATTTCGCCTGCCGTTCTCCTCCACATTTCACACTTTTCCACCGATCTGCATTATTTTTAGCGTCACACGATTTCTTTCAGAAAATTACAGCTGATCGTAGGAACAATTGAAAAGCTGTGAGGCACCGATGTGCGTGGAATTATGCCAGCTTTTTGCGTTTATAATGCACGATTTACACTGCGAATTGGCACGCGAGCGTAATACGTAAGCAAATTAAAAAGTGAGCGGCTGCCAGCGGAACGCCAGGGGGGGGGGGGACGGTGAGGGAGGCGCGGGGGCGGGGCGCACACAGCTGAAAACAAGTTTGAAATAGCCGAAAAACAGCAACGCGAAGGTGAAATTTCCGAAAATCGAATTGAAACGTAGACGAAAATCATCAGTCCATATGTGTGTGCACTCTGGGCTGCGGTTGTGTGCGTGTGCTGCGTTTTCCACGGTTGCGCTGCGAACCACGGGGGAAATGCCAATCGCTTTTCCGCCGCCCCCATAGAACTCGATTCGCACACAATGCTCCTATTTGCTGTTCACTTTTACAATATTGCCCTGTCTTACATTATTTACACCTCACGCTGTTGCTTCTCTTTTTGCTTTTTTACGATTCGGTATGGCCGCGTGTGGGTGGAATCCCCAATATACCAGATCGGCTGTGCGAGTGCACTGTTATCGAAACCAGAGTGACCGTGGCTGGAATAAGTATACCAGGGCAGACAACAAGCAAAGGTGTAAAACTCTGCTAAACGTTCAGCCCATATTCCAACCACAAATCTCTTCCAAGTCCGTTGCAACTTAAACTAAAAAAAATATTTTTTGTTTATTTTGCAGTTTTCCTCCATTTGCGTATCCACATGTCATAACGATTTCAAGTTTATCGTTCCCAGATATCAACACTTCAAATAACATATGTTATAGGAATTAAAATGTCTTGCGAAAAATATATTTTTATACCCGTTACTCGTAGAGTAAAAGGGTATACTAGATTCGTCGGAAAGTATGTAACAGGCAGAAGGAAGCGTTTCCGACCCCATAAAGTATATATATTCTTGATCAGGATCACTAGCCGAGTCGATCTAGCCATGTCCGTCTGTCCGTCTGTCCGTCTGTCCGTCTGTCTGTCCGGATGAACGCTGAGATCTCGGAAACTATAAGAGCTAGGCTATTGAGATTTGGCGTGCAGATTCCTGAGCTTCTTACGCAGCGCAAGTTTGTTTCAGTACAGTGCC